GCCAAAAAGAAGGAAGAGGCAGAGAAGGCTCGGGCGCAGGCTGAAGCGCAGAAGAAGGCCGCTGAGGAAGAGCGAAAGGCAGAGGAGGCTAAAAAGAAGGCGGAAGAGGAAGCCAAAAAGAAGGAAGCAGAAGCAAAGAAGAAGAAGGAGGAGGACAAAGAGAAGGCGGATGAAGCAACGTTTTGTTTATCTTATTGTCATTAGGTCGTCCAAAGAAGATTGATTTTGAGCCGCGATACTTGATAAATACTACTCTTTATGTGCAAGGAGTGCAACAAGCTCTGCAGCCTTTGCATCCCATAGTTTCACCTCGCCATGCCTTCACATTCGTTCCATCTCCGTTCTTTTACTGTAAGGACTTCATTTGGCAGCCCTCGCGTTTCAATTCGTGTCACACCATCCCTCACATTTCTTTATATATTGCTTTTGGACTATATCATTATATATACTGTAATATAATATATTGTGAAACATTTTCAGTACAAACCACAGTAAAGATATGTAGCATCATTGACACCATAGACTGGTGCAGTTGGCCTGATTACAGCCCTTTTTGGATCAAGAAAAGATTCGCATGGTAGCGGAGCCAAGGATAAGGGTAACCCCCCTTTGAGCTCCAGAGAAAAGCCCGTGCGATTTCGAGCCATAGATTTGAGGCCTTTGGAACCCAAACAGCTGGACTGGTGATAAATTGTTGTGAGCGACGCTCTGTACCCCATACGTTGTGTCAGAAGGACATTAGTCCGCAGTGGAGATGGAGGAGATCAGAGAAATCCTTCAAGCTATTATGACACAGAGTACGCTAGCAACAACACCAGCAGGCGAGGCAGTGAAGAAAGCAGCGCTGCAATTGGTGAAAGCCGTGGAGGACTCCAATGGATTGATGCCTGGAGGAGTTTGAACAAACCTTCGAAACCTACTTCAAAGGCAGGAGGATTAGCACTCTTGGGGGCAGCCTTCTGAAGCTTGAAGAAGTAACAGGGACGACAATTCAAGAAGAGTTGATATCTGCTATTCTTCTGAGATGTGTAGGCGGACAGCTCAAATCATACTTGAGTTTGACAATTAGCGACAATGTTCAAGTGTTGCGCTGGGGTCGTTTTCAGCAGAAATGGGCTAATTGAATGGTGCAAGTATCAGTGCAGACTATCAAGGACCTATGCCAATGGACATTGATAGAGTCCAAGATGGCAAAGGAAAAGGTAAGACGGGCAAGAATGACCATCGAAAGGGCAAAAGTAAGGATGCCAAAGGCCAAGGAAAGAAAGGAAAAGGAGATCAGAAAGGAAAAGAAGGTGATCAGAAGGGCAAAGGTAAAGGAAAGGACCAGAAAGGTAAAGGTGTGGCAACGTGTTGCACTTGAGGAAAGCAGGGCATCTTGCTCGAGATTGTTGGAGGAACAATTTTCGACAGGTTGCAGGTGATCCAGCCCATTCATCTCCAGGAGGAGCATCAGTGACTACTCATACAGTTGCAAATGTCAGCCGCCGCCAGAGTAGTTCAGTAGAGACCAAGCCAGTGCTCAGGAATTGATGACAGTGAGCCAATCATCTTGGACTTGCGAGAAAGAGATGATGAAGTAGAAGATCATGGAACTCGAGTGATTCACTTCTCTGAGATGATGATGGTGGACCAGAGACGGAAACCATGGTGAGAGATGATGAACCCATGGTGAGGAGATGTGGGCAAGAGATGAGGATGTGGCCATCATAATTTCAGTGGAGCTGATGTAGTGTTTTGCCTTTTGAGTATTGCAGATCATGGAGAAGGAGAAGCAGAATTCTGTACAAAGACCCAGCTACAAGATGCTCAAGGAAATCCCATTCCTGCAGGAGGAGCGAAACGTGTTGGGGAACCAATAGCAGAGCGCAAACGTTGGAGAATGGTGACTTGAAGGTGCCGCTCAACTTGCAAAATCGCTCTTTGACAGTTCAACGCCGCACTAGAGTCACTAGAGATGAAGATGCTGCTCGGAGGTGCAAGTACCTGAAGCTTTGGAAACGGAATCAGTTTGGAGACTCAATGAGCATGGGCTACTGGTTGGAAGCTAGTTGACTTGCAGGTATGTGGATCCCACAGTCATTCCAGATGATGGTGCAGTCATTCCTTCAATCGCAACCTTCAGCCATGAGCCAGCGCCGCTAAAAGATATGGGATTCTTTGCGCTAGGATACAAGAAGCTTGAGAACTGGGAGGAAAGGAAGAAAGAAGTGGAGCAGGCAATCGAAGAGATTGCCCCTACTCCACCGGAGAAGGAGAAAGATGAAGACCTTGAATGTGAACTACAATTGAGCCCAATGGATGTAGATAAAGCCTTGGTGAGTGGAATAGAGTTGGAGTTGACTACGGGTTCTTTCTTCTTTGGCAACTTTGAGGGCGGCGTGTTCATTTCTCGGCATTTCAGGCAGTGGCTCTAAGGTCTACGCAAAGATCCCCATTCGCAACAAGAGAATGGAACTTTTGAGTGCAAAAGCTTGGTGAGTGAAGCAAAAGCTGAAGAGACACAAGAGGCATTAGGTCAAAGTGTGGCTTGAAGCCACTCAGGCAAGGCGCAGGTTGACGCGTATGCCAATTGGTGGAAGGAGTGGATTGCACATCGACCGCGCCCAGGCCGCCATGAGAGAACGTGGAGTAAAGAGAGGAAGTATTCCCGAGGTAAGATTTGACTTTTGCTGTGCAAGAGCAAGAGACTGAGAAACAAAGTCAGCAAGGGCAGTATGTTGGCTAGTTGCAATTGACAGTCAGACTTGATTCATTCATGTTGTGCCATGATGAGGACGCAAGGCCAATCTCGTCTCATTGTGCGATTGTGCAAGAACTGATGAGTTTCAATCAATTGTTGGGGTATTCAGCAATCACCTACAGGAGTGACAATGAACGATCAATGCTCGCCACAGTTTAGGACTCACTACAAGATTGCTTACTTCAAAGCTTGGAGATCCTGTCAGAGAACACAGTTGACAGAGTGAGAGAGCTTGCAGGAAGTTTCATTGAAGGTGTGCAGTCAAGACTTGGTATCAAGATAGGGCCAGATCATGCACTTTGGACTGGGCAGCAAGAGATGCCAGTTGGGCGCTGAATAGATTTCAGCCAGTGAAGGGTGCAACTTCCTATCTATGGCAAAAGTTACAGAGGACTCCTAGCAGAATATGGTGAACCAGTTCATGGTTACACCAAGAGCCTCAACAAAGGAGCAGCGAGATGGCGTCTATGCTTGTTCTTGGGAAAGGTTGAAAGACGAGATACCTATGCGCTTACAGATGGAGTGCAGGTAGTGCTAAGCAAACGCATCAGAAGAACAGATCAACATTGGACCAAATACTAAAGCTTCAATGCATGTTCATGGGAATTCCAGACAACATTAAGAGGCAGAATCGTTGCCGCAAAGAGGAGAGCAGAAGCGTTACCAGCTGCGCAGACAGACATTCCTTGAGAGCGTGTGATGTTGGAGTTCAAGGATGAAGATGCAGAAGCAGTTATGGCAAAAACTCTTGAAGGAGGAAGTGATTCAGGACAACCTAATCCAGTTATTCCTATACTATCTTCATTGAGATCACCATCAGCGCCATCAAGACCAAGGGAAGTATTTGAATTGCTTGAAGAAGAGAGAGCCAGAAGAAGATGAAGTGAATGGACCTTGTCCAGAAGAATGGGTAGACAGATGCCCATCCCGAGGGTCAGTGAGGAGGAGGAGGAGGAAGCAAGAGAGGGAGAAGGAGCATCTTGCTAGATGGTTCCACAAGAGAAGCCGTTGAAAGTGAACTTGAGAGGAGAAGAATTCTTGGTCAAGAGAAATTTACCTGGACAATGAGTTGGAGGGAAAGCATGGTTTGACTTTTCACAGAGTGCCTCACCGAGGAACTCAAGTACAAGTTCAGTGCTGAGTGTCCATGTCTAGGAAGAAATGAACAGAGCATCATTTTGACCCGTGTGGATTACTTGATTTTCGCAGGTTGTTCTGTTCAAAGTGCGTTAATGAAATCTTTCTTCCAAAGATTCAGGACAGGTTTGATACCAGTGTGAGCAAAATTGAGAAGATAGGTGATGAGTTCGACATCTATGAGGAGAAAGTACAAACTAGAGAAAGATGGACTACGGGCCTACACCCAGCAGATGCTGAAAGCCTATGACGAGCAGATTGGTAAGATCAAACTCCAACAAGTACCATCAGACAACTCAATTCAGATGGAAGACAAATCAGACGTTTTGCGTGGCCAAAAGAAGGTTAGCCTATTCAGAAACATTGTTGGATCAGGTATCTACCTATGCCAAGAGAGGTATGATGTAGCACGTACAGTGAAGGAATTGGCTTCAAGAATGTCAAACCCAACAGCTATGTCATTTAACCATACGAAGGAAGTTCCGAGGATACTTGAAGAAGACTATGGACTAGTAGTTGAACTTCTACAAGCAGGAGAAGGCGATGTGAAGAAGGAGAAAGCTATTGATGCTTGGAAACGCTCTCTGATTCAGACTGGAGTGGAAACAAAAGTCACAGAAAGTCAACGTCAGGAGGATTTCGCGCATTGAGCAGTTGTCCATTGTTCAAAAGGTCATTAGCCTATATTCATGTGAAGCAGAGTTGCGCGCAGTAGTTTCTCCAGCGCATGAGTTTGCGCTCGGGACACAGGCAGACCATCGTATCTTCACAGATTCTTTACATGCGCCAACTTGTGACGAAGAGAGGAGTTGGAAAGGTGAGACACTTGGACGGAAAGTTGTTATGGATTCAGAACAGGAAAGACTTCAAGATGGTAGAAGTATCAATAGATAGCAACACGGCAGACATCAATACCAAGTCACTTGGAGGACAAAGAACCAGATACTTGATGAGCCTCATGGGGTATTGGCGCAGTGAAGAGCAGACAAGAGTAGGAGTGCGGGAGAGAAAGGTGTTTGAAGAGAAATGAACTTTGCAGGAAAGGTCAACAAGATTGCAAAGACGATTGTGAGTATGGTAGCATTGGAGGGCTTGCAGCCAATGGCGAGAAAGGAAACGCCCAGTGTGGATTGGATGAATTGAAAGAATCCAATGAAAAGTGGAAATTTTGGTTATTGTGATCATTGTGATCAACATCATTTGTTTTTGCAGCAGTGATCTTTGTACTACTCAAGCTCTAGAAGCACTTTGAGATCAGCTATTACACCGCGGTGGAAACTACTCATTTCGGGCAGAAGAAGCAGAACTCAAATTCCGAAGGTTTGAAATTGCTGAGTGTGAGGACAATGAAGAGAGAATAACCATTCTGCGCAACTTTGGCCGGAGAGTTCATTGTGGTTTGATCTCAATGGAGGTTTTGTTAGAAATACAAGATCTTCGTACAGTCATCAGTTATGATGTTCTGGGAGAGATGAATGCCGGAAATTTCTTAGCCAGAAGGAGCTTACAAGATATGCAAGCGACAGAAGGACAATATCGACGCTATCAAGAGAGAGCCATCAATGAGAGAAGAGTATGAGGTAGAGCAGGCAAGCCAAATGTGTGGTCGACTGGAGGGAAAGCTTCAACAACTCATGGAACCCAACTGGAAGAGGCCGAGACGAAGAGGCAGGTCAAGTTGAAAAGGAAATGGAAAGATACCAAGAGTTGTTAGAATGTGCAGTTATGAGAAGGGACAACCCAGATAGACCAGTACCGAGAACCTCTGGGAACCCCGTTCCTTAGAGAAACGAGAAAGCCTGCAGAGAAATGATGAAAGAACATGGACTATAGCAGAGTGAACTCAAAGTAGCAATTCGACCGCTCACACTACCAAGAAGGAGTGTGAAGAATTTTCAGTACAAACCACAGTAAAGATATGTAGCATCATCGACACCATAGACTGTACAGTTGACCTGAATACAGCCCCTTTTGGATCAAGAAAAGATTCGCATATCTCTTTCCATGGCCCATGTCTCTTGCTGGGTCAGTCGACTCACTTTTGTGCCACAAAAGCACTCAATCTTGCACATTATGTCACTTGGTGCATATATACACATTCTGTTGATTCTATTTCTTGTGCAGCCACTTTTGGCCGCACCCATACAATTTGAGTACGGTGAACGCAAATTCACACTGTATTGTTCTACGGGCGATCACTTCCTCATCGCAGCCTCATTTCTCAATGCTTGATGAAGCGGCAGTCAATAACGTACTGTGTAGCTTATGCACATAGCTGCTGAGGGCAGAGTGTCCGATATGCGCACTAAGACAAGACTGACACAGTGCCCAAGGCCAAAATATCCAAGCTGCCAGATGTTGCCGCAACCCCAGCGCAATTGTCAGACCAGCTTGAACCTTCTACATTCTCCAAGAGTGATGTTTCTCAAAGTCTCTGTTTCAGCTGAGGTCCTTGCCCAGTCATCCGAGGCGCGTATTCAGGCCAAGGCAAAGTTTGACAAGGCAAGGAAGAGAAGGATGCTACAGATCAAGGATGTACCTTGTGTTTAGTAGGAGATGTACCTTTGGCTTAGTAGGATGCTAAAACGCATTTGCAGTAAAAACTAATCCGATCTATAAAGACAAACAAAAGAGCTGGACATTCCAGAAGACCTCGATGACATCACATGGACAAGGCTCTGCAAACCATCAAGCAGAAGGCCAAGCAGGCTGAGGCACCGCAAGCTGAATCTTGATGTCCACAAGTAAACCTTAAGGCATAGTTGCTCTTGCACGCACACACACACACACAGACACTGGCATTTTGAGAAAGAGTCGCACCTGGAAGGCAAAACCATTTTTGAACATCACTTGTCCCTTTGATTCTTCGACTCTGCAGGACAAAGACCGGGAGATGATTGGCAACATCCAGAACTTGGACGGAAAGATCAAGTCCACAAAGGACGCGTGACCCTCTCAAGTCTCTATGCCCAACAATGCATAGAAAAGTGCGAAACAGATTACACAGAATTGAATCAGATCACTCCTTTGCGAAGTTGACAATCCCACTGAGTTGGAGGTATGACAAAGCAAAAGGCTCAGAGAAGGATGCCAAACTCAAGGATCAAGCGCTTTTACCATCAGCCTCTACCTGTTCAATGAATCTTAAATTGACGCAAGAAGAGCCACGGGCATAGATTTATACTAATACACTTGGGATGTTGTGTGGGAGGGTACCATATGCCATACAGGTCGACATTGACACATATTGTTGCCAGCCGCTGAGCAGTTCCCGAAGCAGTGTGGCAGGAGCTCAACAAGCTTCGTGATGACAAACTCATCGCCGAGAAAGCCAGGAAGGCTGCTGAGGCCAGCCATGCCCAGCCGATGCAAGCTGCTGATATGCATCATTTTGTTTGTGTTGCGCTCTCTTTTTGCCTCTGATGTTTGTATGAAACAAAATTTGAGCCTAAAATGAAGTGAGAGGCAGAGCTGCAAAGTGACAAGCGTGAGTTCAAGAAAGCCCAGAAGGACGGGGTGTTGATCGCACATGGCAGGACAGTTGAGATTTGCTGAGTTGGTTCATGTTCCAAAGAGTCCAAAGCAAAGCAATGCTTCCGAACATCCAGTAGCGTGCAAGCCCGCAGCCGTCGGAGCTTCGAGCATTCCACTGCATGTACTGTATCAAGGTGGGAGTCCTGCTTACACCACTCGCGCAGGCGAAACAGACACAGCTAGTCTCAAGTTCTCAGAGTACTACCTTACCAAGATCCTCCACTACGTTAGACGAAATTAAAGAGTGCAGTCTGAATAGGTCTTAGGTTTGAGAGCGCTTTCATGGTATCCAACTGCAACAGGACCTCGAGACAGCGGAGAAGAGCATCCAAAGCTCCAAGCAAGACGTGAAGATGCTTGGTGAAGCGCAGATCTTGTATTTTTTTATGGAAGCTGGAGAGAATGCTCCACAAATCACTCTTGTTGTCGTTTTACATACGCCTCAACATCAGGGGAAGGGCTCTCCCATGAGATGTTTATTGTGTGGTATAGCAAGTTGTGTGTAAAAATTGGATAGAACACTTTTTTTTGTGGTATTTATTTAACAATTGAATATTGCCCTTCATAGCTGAGGAGTGAGCTGGACAGGCTTCGCTCCAAGGAGTCTCCCTTTTATCATCGATCGGGTCGGGTGCAAAAGCTTGGGCCCAAAAGGCTCCATGCACACTTTTCAATGTAGGGGCAGTTCCAGATGGTTCATGATTCAGTTTCTGCAGAAAGATGTTGAAGGCCAAACAACTACCTTGCCATAACACAAGATTTGGAGAAACACAACTTCCTTTTTTTGTGCTTGTTTGAGGACCGCCCAGTTTTGGAAAAGGCGCTAAAAGAGAGGAAGGAGAAGGCACTTGGAGATCAAACACAAAGCTCCTTGCTCTGCTCGTACTACATAGACTGTGTAGCTGAGTTGTTGTGTTGTCTGTATTTGTATGATGTTTGCGCCCCGATGCTATTTCGTGTCAAAGCAAAGCCAATGCATTCCCTTGCGCTTCTTATTTGCACAAAGCAAATGCCTCCGCAACAAAAACTATTTTGCCGGTGATGCAGAATTTGGTCCATCCATGATTCATGATCATTGCTATCACGATGGCATATATATATATAATATATTGTGAAACATTTTCAGTGTGAATCACTACCTTGATGTATAGCATCATGGACATCATAGTATATAGCATGTACAGTATTCTGACTTCACTGCAGCCCTTTTGTTCATCAGGAAAAAGTTCGCATGGTAGCGGAGCAAGGATCAGGGAAGCCCCTAGGTCACTGGAATCGCAGGTCGATTTGGGGCCTTTGGAACCCAAACAGCTTGCTTGGACTGGTGATAAACAATTGTGAGCGACACTCTGTACCCCGTATGTTGTGTCAGAAAGACCTTAGTGCGCAGTGGAGATGGAGTGATCAGAGAATCCTTCAAACTATAGCGCAGAGTACGCTAGCAACACCATCAGCAGCTGAGGCAGTGAAGAAAGCAGTTGAGGACAAGAAGTCATCAACAACTGATTGGTCAAACCCCACTGCAAAGCCCAACATAATTGACTACAAGTAACAAGAAGAAGAAATCAAAGCACTTAGAGAGTGGTCATGGGTACTTGAGAAATATTTGAGTGCAGTTGATGAGGCTTACATGAAGGACTTGGAGGATACTTGGCAACTCCAGAGGTAAAGACCAGGTGTATTGAGCTCTATGGATTGTTAGCTTCGCTGATGAGGGGAAGAGCACTACAATTTGCGAAAGCTGAAAAAGGCTAGAGGATTGGCGCTTTTGGGAGCAGCCACTACATGTCCCAGCATTTTCACTGAACAGTGCACTACAACCTCAACTTCTGAAGCTCGAAGAAGTATTTGACGAGACGGTCACGACAGGGACGACAGTTCAAGAAGAGTTGAAATCTGCTATTCTTTTGAGATGTGTAGGCGGACAGCTCAAGTCATACTTGAAATTGGCAATTGGCGACAATGTTCACTACTAACTTTGAGGGAACAAGTGTTGCAATGGGATCCGTTCTTAGCAGAAGTGGGCTACTTCCATGGTGGCAAGTAGCAGTACAGACTATCAAGGACCCATGCCAATGGACATTGATCGAGTCCAAGTTGCCAAAGGAAGGTGCAAGAAGGGCAAGAATGACCTTCAGAAAGGCAAAGGTAAAGATGGAAAGGGCGCGGGAAAGAAAGGAAAAGGAGATCAGAAAGGAAAAGAAGGTGATCACAAGGGCAAAGGTAAAGGAAAAGACCGGAAAGGTAAAAGTGTGGCAACATGTTGCACTTGTGGAAAGCCACGACATCCTGCTAAAGACTGCTGGAGGAACAATGTTCGACAGGTAGCAAGTGATCCAGCCCATTCATCTGCAGGAGGAGCATCAGTGACAGTGGTCAGGAGAATGAGAACCGTGGGCCAATCATCTTTGACTTGCGAGAAAAGGATGACGAGGTAGAAGATCATGGAATTCGAGTAGTTCACTTCTACATTGGAGATGGTGATGATGAGCCAGAGATGGAAGATTGCAAGGTGATCGACATCTCAGATGATGAACCCATGGTGAGGAGACTTGGGGAAGAGAATGAGGATGTGGCTATCATTGTTAACAGTGGAGCTGATGTAGTGTTTTTACCTTTTGAATATGGCAGATCATGGGGAAGGTGAGCTAGAGTTCAGCGCAATTCCCAAGCCACAAGATGCGCAGGGGACCGTATCCCCACCGCGGTGCGCGCAGCGCTGAAATTTCCTTGCGTGGCCTTGGTGGACGTGAAGTACTTCTCAAAGAGAATGTGACCTTCAGTTCAGAGGTGAATCAGAATAATCGCAGAGAGCAAATGTTGGAGAAGGGTGACTTGAAGGTGCCACTCAACTTGCAAAATCGCTCTTTGACAGTTCAAGGCCGCATTAGAGTCATTCGAGATAAAGATGAAAGCTGCTTGGGGGTGCAAGTACCTGAAGCTTTGGAAAAGGAGTCAGGTTCGAGATTCAATGCGCATGGACTGCTAGTTGGAAGCTCATTGACTTCAAGGTTTGTTGATCCTACAGTCATTCCAGAAGTGGAAGAGTCACCAGAGTTGATTTGGTGAAAAGAGGAGGTTGATGGCTAACGCCTGAACTGAATAATATTGCGAAAGCATGATGAAGGAGGAGGAACTTGATGAGCAATTCTTTGATGGTGGTGCAGTCACTCCTTCCACCACAACCTTCAGCTATGGGGTTCTTTGCGCCAGGATACGAGAAGCTTGAGGACAGAGATGAAAGGAAGAAAGATGTGAAGCAGGCAGTCGAAGAGGTTGCCCTTACTCCACCGGAGAAGGAGGTAGAAGGTCAGAGAGAAGAAGACAAGAAAGATGAAGACCTTGAATGTGAACTACATTTGATCCCAATGGATGTAGATAAAGTCTTGGTGAATGGAATAGAGTTAGAGTTGACTAAGGATTCTGAGGGCGGCGTGTTCATTTCTCGGCATTTCAGGCAGTGGCTCTAAGTCTAGGCTAAAGGTCTACGCATAGATCCCCAATCGCAACAAGAAAATGGAACTCTTGAACGCCAAAAGCTAGGTGAGTGAAGCAAAAGCTCAAGAGACAAGAGAGGGGTTAGGTCAAAGCCATATGCCAATTGGCGCAAGGAGCGCGTTGTGCCTAGGGGCTCAAACCATTAGGCCCAGGTTGAAGTGAAACGTCCCTGAAAGATGGGATCGCCGGAGATATAAGTAGAGGCAGAAGCAAAGAAGGGACAAAAAGAAGCCAAGACACCATCATCGATGGAAAGACAAACCAAGACCAAGAAAAGCGGTGAAGAGAACGGTGAGCAAGAGTTATACGAGGAGGAGGACCGCCCAAAGACCGCCCGGGAGCTGTTTCCTGCTACACCTGCTACCTACAAGACCTTCGACGCAAAAGAACACCGCAAAGGAAAAGAGCCACACTGGATGCTTCAGCAGGCCAACGTAGAAGAAAGAAGTACGCAAGCAAAGACGCCGCAAAAGGAAGCTGCTTCACCCAGTGGAGCAACAGACCTCAGCAAGCAGTTGGCAGAGCAGATCCGAGAAGCCCAAGAAACAATGGCCAAAATGAAAGAAACTATGGAGAACACTCCGCAGCCACCGTTTGCGCAGGAGATGCAGCAACACATCCTAAACCTACAGCAAGGAAATTCAACAGCGCAACGAAGATTTGAGCATTGACATGAGAGATGTTGACATCCTCACCCAACATCTCCACGACGCTCTACAGCCAAGAACAAAGAGAGGCAGCCAAACAAAAAAGTGGCGAAAGGATGGCCGCAAGAGTTCACGGACGAGGAGAGAGACAACGTCATCAAGTGGTACTTGCCAAAAGCTGGAGTGGATAGCCAACGCACGGCAACACACGGCAAATACGTGCATGGCAGCTACCGACGATCGCCAGTCACCATCATGCACTGGAACAGCGAACGGGCAAAGCGCACTTTTGAACAATACATATACAAACGCTACAACAAGCAACGCCCAGTCACCATCTGGGACACAAGCAATAGGCAACCAGGCGCGCAGAATCAGCTTCACACCCCAGACCAGTGACATGGAAAGAGAAGTCAACCTTACAATCAAAGCAGCGCTGCGCATTCTGACCACCGACAGCAAATCCGACTTAGCAAACACGTGGAGCAAAATCGCGGTGAAGTGGCAGGATAAATTGGCAGTGAAAGTCGCAGAGAATGCCGTGATTTTCAAACTGCTGAGAGACAAGGAGGATTCGATATACATGCGCCTCTACATCCACAACGACTACTTCGACGTCATCAATGACAACTGGACACAGGGATGGGAGCCAGCCAACAGCAAGACCAAACACCCCAAATACAAGCGCTGCCCATATGAAATTCGCTTCCTTGAGGGAAACGAGGAGAACTACACCATGCGAGAGGCAAAGTGGGGCGAGAAGAGAGCCGATGATGATGACGATGATGATGATGACGATGAACCTTGACTACACTCTCCATACAAGAGAGCCAGAGTCGAAGTGAAGGAATTAGAACGGATGGAACTAGCAGAGAAGGAAATAGGAAAGAAGGAAGTAGGAGATAAGAAGGAATTAGGTAAAACAAAAGCAGGACATAGAAGAGGGCGCGGCATGACCCGATGATGTTTGGGGCCCATAACAAACAACGATTTTGAAAATCTAGTAAGCCTTTGTACCCTCAAAAGGTGTGCCGGGATCCTTGTAGGGTTTCTGCAGGGAGCGAAAACCCCCAATGCCCTTCCCCCCAAAAAAGGTTTTGTTACAAAAAAGAAGGAATAGGAAGAGGGCGGTAAAACGAAGACTTTGCAGATATTTCAAGTCTTTTCATGGGAAGGTCAGGCCTAGGAAGGCTCAGGAAACCAGATGTGCTCGAGCATTCCGGAAAGAAACCAAAACTGCGTTTAAAGAGTTTTACATGGAGACATGTAAGCCAGTGGACACTTCACCCAGAAAACATAAGAACAATGGGCGCAGTCTTCCATATGGTATCCCCTTGAATGCAGCCACTTTGAACGTTCGATTCGAGGGCTTATCGGTCAGAATGGCATTACCAAAAGACAACTTATCGGTGATGTTATGAGAAAGAGCAGTCTGGATATTTTACTGCTGACAGAAATCCAGATTAATACTTCTAGCGTCGAAACCCATGGGGACTTGTCTTATTTCTTCAGCAGTGATATCCAACCGGGCAAATCACACAAAGAACACGCCGGAGTCGGAATTGTCGCTCACAAGTGGTTGAAGCGATTTCTGTATGCAGTTCAACAAACAAGTGGTAGAATGATGGCTATTCGGTTGAGATCACATGGCGTGAACCTGGCCTTTATTTGTTGCTACGCCCCCCACAGTGGACATTCA